TGCTTGCTTGCTTGCTTGCTTGCTTGCTTGACTGACCCGCCTTGGCTCAAACTTGGCGTCGACAAGGCCCGCTCTTCCTCCCCATCAACTACATTCATCCGGTGGCAATCACAGCGACGTCGATTGCGCAGACAGCTACTCATCATGGTAAGTTCCAATACGCACAGCCACTCCTGCGTTCCGCCCACTAACCCAGCCATACCACCACGTCTTCGCCACCACAGAAAATCAAGGCCCTGTCGAGGTCTCTCGACGTGCACGCCCCCGCTCGTCAGGGCGATCCCGCCCCGCTCTCTCGCAACCTCGATCCGGCGCTCCATCCATTCGACAAGCCGCGCGAGTATACGCGCGCCGTGAACGCAGCCAAGCTCGACCGCCTCTTCGCCAAGCCCTTCGTCGGTGCGCTCGAGGGTCACATCGACGGCATCTACTCCATCGCAAAGGACACCAACCGGCTCAACGTCGTAGCATCAGGAAGTGGCGATGGAGAGATCCGTCTCTGGGATCTGGCGCGTCAGAAGCCTATCTACGTCTATCCGCGCGCACACTCGGGTATCATCCAGTCCATCTGCATCTCGCCCTTGACCTTTATGTCTCCCTCTGGCAACTCGTCGGTCGGCCGCAGGATGCTCTCGTGCTCCACCGACAGGACGGTCAAGGTCTGGGACGCAGATCCCCGTCCCGATGGTCTCGGGCAAGGCACGTTCAACGCCATGGAAGATGATGACGACGATGATGACAATGACGACATGGAATTGACCACCGGCGGCAGTCTCAGAAGAGGCGGCCTTCTCAGCACTCGCGACAAGGATGTGCCTCCTAGCGAACCTCTCACCGTGTACAGCGGCAAGACGGCGTTCAACTCGCTCACCCATCACGCCACCAGCGCCGTCTTCGCATCGGCTTCATCAAACATTCAGACCTGGGACCTCGAACGAGGTGGTTCGTCAGACCCTCTGCTCTCCATGACGTGGGGTCCAGACGCAATCAACGTCGTCAGATTCAACCTCAGCGAACGCGAAGTGCTGGCTAGTGCAGGTAGCGACCGCGGCATTGTCCTCTACGATCTGCGCAGCGGAAAGCCACTCACCAAGATGATCATGCAGGTGAGTTGCTCACCAACAAAGTTCGAAGTCCCCCAACCACGCACACGGTCACTGACGTTCTTGCGTTCGAAAACAGATGCGCGCAAACGACATCGCATGGCACCCTACCGAGCCAACCGTGTTCGCGGTCGCGAGCGAAGATCACAACGTCTACACATTCGAGTAAGTCGCCCTTTCCTTGCAAGGCCTCCATTAAGCTTCGATTCTAATCCACACCCTCCTTGTTTGTAGCATGCGACACCTCAACTCGGCAACCCAGGTTTACAAGGACCACGTTGCGGCGGTCATGTCGGTCGACTTCTCTCCCACCGGTACCGAGCTGGTCAGCGGCTCCTATGACCGTACCTTGCGGATCTGGGAGTACGGCAAGGGCAACCACTCGCGCGACGTGTACCACACCAAGCGTATGCAGCGCATCTTCTCCACCTCCTTCTCCATGGACGCCAGGTTCGTACTCAGCGGTTCCGATGACGGCAACTTGCGCATCTGGAAGGCGCGCGCTAGCGAAAAGCTCGGCATGCTCAGCGGCAAGGAGATGGCCAGTAGGGAGTACTCCGAGAGCCTGCGCAAGAAGTGGAGCGGCGTGGGCGAGGTCAGCAAGATCGAGAAGCAGAGGCATGTGCCCAAGGCGATCAAGCAGGCACAGCGACTCAAGACCACCATGATCGACGCAAGAAAGAACAAGGAGGAGAACAGGAGGAAGCATTCCAAGGTAAGTTCGGCCCGCGGCGAGAGCGAGATGGTACACAGCGCTGACCCGACCATCTTCGAATCCTTCCAGGCCGGCGAGAAGAAGCCAAAAGCAGCTCGAAAGGAGGCGATTCTGTCGCAGCGAGACTGAAGCACCTGTCCTGTCGCCATCTATAGCGCCCAGACTCATTCCCTATCAACATCACCAGCATTTTGTATTTGTACCTTGCATCCAAAAACCGAGATTCATGTCTCTGACCAACATCTGCGACCGCGCATGCTTTGGTGTCGCACAGCAAGACGTGTGTGTGTGTTTGTGTGAGTGTGGAATGACGCTGTTGGATTGCATGCCAAGACAGCTCAATCTCAGTGACCAGCAGCACTGGCTCATTGAATCATCTCGGCGTGGGCAGACTCACACTGCTGGGCAATGGCTTGATTCGGGGTATGAGTGGCACTCGATTAGGTTTTTTGGAATGAAAAGGATAAGAGAATACAACAGCCTCTTGAGCGATGGCCCAAGACGGCTCGAAACGTAAGCAGCATTGCTGGGGGCCACACTAAAGTACAGATGCATTGGCACGGCGGCTTGTGGGCTATGTGGCAGCGGCAGCCATTTCGGCCTTTGTCAAGAACCTGCCACCGGGCCCACGGGGCCTCCTGACCGCATGCCTGTGTCTGCTTTCATGCAGGTAGGGCTTCTTGCCCTCTTCGTCGAGGCCGTCTTCCTTGCCTGCCTTTTCGCGGGCGTGCATGTGCGCCAGGAACTCCTTCTTCCTCTGTTCCTCGATGCGCGCACGCGTAGCTCTCCTCTTGAGGATGCGCTGGTACTGCTTGGCGTTGACGTAGAGCGGTTCGTCCTCGGCAGGCTCTTCGTCGGCGACGCCTTCGGTCTGGGCCTCGGCTGTCGGAACATCGCCATGGACCGAGGCGAGGCCGAGATTGGAGGGGCCTGCGTGGAGTGCGGAGGAGGCGGGGTAGCCGAACTCGTCGGAGCCGACGACGGACTGTGCGCGCGAGTTGGATAGCGAGGCGGGCAGAGCGGAAGCGGAAGCGGAGCCATGGTAAGGGCTGGAGTGACCGACGTCGGTGGTGATGCCTGGGCCAAAGGAGGACCAGAGACGCGAGTGATCTGCGGCGCCGACGTGGGATGCGCCAAAGTCTTCTGCGTCGCCTGCGTTGATCCAGGCGGTGATGTCGGTGTCCTCGGGATCGGGGTGGTAGGAGGATATGGAGTGGTGGAAGTCGCTCGCGGGGCTGTTTGCGTTGGAGAGTGCGCTCGGGATGCGCGGACGGGTTCGGCTGCGGCTGGAGGAGGAGAGGCGGGAGCGCGGCTCTTCTTCTGCGCGTGTACGTTTTCGTGCGCGGGGACGGACGTTGCCACCTGAGCCCGAATCGTCATCCAAGCCGAGGGCGCTGGCGGTGGCGGGATGGAGCAGATCGGAGGCCGAGTAGGGCGAGCCGATGTGGGGCGGAGCATCGGAACGGAGCGAAGTCGAGTTGAGATCCCACGGGTATTTGTGGTTGGCAAAGCTCGAGTGGCTCTCTGCGCCGCTGCTGTGGGTGGTTGCGTTGGAGGGCACGCCGTGATAGGAATCTGCGGGCGAGTTTGCCCAGCTGAGACGACCGCTGTTGGAGAAGGCGGCTACGGAAGCGCTGGAAGAGGAGTGGTGATCCGCGCTGGGCGACAGGTGCTGGTGCGGGGTGTTGGCGGAGCTGGCGTAGGAGTCGAGATGGTGGTGATGGTGATGGGTGCTGCCGGATGCATGGTTGGGCTGGGTGGGGGTGGTGGCTGCTGGATGCTGGATGTAGAATGCGCCAAAGGAGGAGAGGTTGTGCGGGATGGAGGTGGAGGAAGGCGAGCCGGCGTAAGGGATGTTGATGCCGCCGGGCGAGGAAGGATGGGGTGATGTGGAGGCGGAGGAGTGGTTGATGGGCTCGTAGAGATGCGAGTAGGACTGCATGACGTGAGGCGACGCGGAGGCCGAGGCGTGGGAGTGCGGGTTGGTGTATGCGTGGACCGGAAAGTCGTCCAGGGCCGAGTTGGAAGCTGGGTATACAGGGTCTCGAGGGGTCATGGCGAGTGCGACGCCCGACAGAGTACAGAGGTACGTATGCAGCAGGAGGGCCTATGAGACGATGGTGCAGTGTGTCGAGACGATGATGGTGTCGGGATGAGGGTTGATGGCGATGCAGGGTTTCCGACCTCGAACGAGCAAACGAGCTGCGGCGCTAGAGAGTTGGGAAGCGAAAGTGCAGCGCCAAACTCCCACCTCCGTGTCCCGGCTCAACTCGAGCAGAAAAAAAAAAGAGCAGCAGCCCAGAAAAAACTCCACTCGGACGCGGCGCGAACCGACGCAGCATCTCAGAAATTCAGCCGATTCGAAATTTTTCCAACGCGCTCGATCCCAGCCTCACTCGTACGGCATTCCCAAGTTACGCTCTAACATGTGGCATCTTTTGGCACGCTGATTCAAGCACAGGCCTTGGCATGGGAACGGAACGGCAATGCCGACGTGCATGCGGAAGTGCCGAAGCAGTCACTGCAATGCATCCGAAGCAGCGACTCGCGGATGGGCCGAGTGACAGTGAAGCAATGTCGTGTGTCTGATGGCTCAGTTCGGCCGGCAATGCCCCTGGAAGCGCTCCTGCCTTAGGGTTCGCCGCCCGAGCTTTGTCGTTGAAGCTGAGTGAGAGGGCGAGTTAAGTTAGTTAGTCCAGGCAAGGCTTGGCGAGGCTGCTCGAGCTGCCCGTGCTAGCCGAGTCGGGCAGTGGCAGCTGCTCGAGATGCGCGCGCTACTCACACTGGTCGAGGCCATCGCCATCGCCATCCATCTCCATCGTCCGATATGTTCGCTTTCGCTCTGGCGCTCCTCGCGCTGTGCGCGCTGGTCAGTGCGCAGCAGCAGCAGCAGCAGCAGCAGATCCTGCTCTACACAAAGACCGCCGGATTTCGCCACGACTCGATTCCCACCGGCATTCGCACCATCACCGCGCTCGGCGACGGCTCGCTCACCCTGCCCTCCTCCGCCATCGACGCCTCCATCTCCAACGTCCGATGGGTCACCGTCAACTCGGAGGACGAGACGCAGTTCCACAACTACACTTTTCTCGCCCAGTTCGACGCGATCGGCTTCCTCAGCACCACCGACGTCGACCCGCCCGGCGTAGGCACCGTGCTCGACGACCAAGGCCTGCGCAACCTGGCGCGCTACGTCCAGCAAGGCGGCAACTACTTTGGCATCCATTCGGCCGCCGCAACCCTCTTCGGGGCTCCCTTCTACGGTCGCCTCGTCGGCGCCTTCTTCGACTACCACCCGCAGATTCAAAACGTCACCGTCCGCGCCACCGATGCCTCGCACCCTTCCACTTCCAGATGGCCGCAGGACGGATTCACCATCTACGAGGAGATGTACAACTTCCGCTCCGACCCCAGACAGCTGCCTTCGCCCGCCAACATCCTCGTCTCCAATGCTTCCGCCTACCAGGACGGCGGCGTCAACCCGCAGGGATTCCGCAATGGAACCAACGGCCCAGCCCCACATCCTCTCGCCTGGTGGAGGCAGGGCGCTCTCCTCGATACCAACGCTGCCACCGATCCTAGCGTACGAGGCGGAGGAGGTGCCGACATCCAGGTCTCGGGAGGGCCAGGTCGCTCGTGGTTCACCAGTTTGGGCCACGACAACTCCACCTGGGCACAGGATCTCTTCCGCGGCCATGTCGCCGGTGGGATCGCATGGGTGCTTGCATCCTCCACTAGTACAGTCAACACCAGCACCACCACGAGCACTACCACATCAACATCCTCGCCCCCTGCAGCCACCTCTAGCACCGCACCCAGCGGCGCCGCGACTGCCAACCGGCTCGGCGCACAGGCGCTCCTCCTACCGGCCATCAGCGCCATCGCCGTCTCGATATACCTCACTCTTGCGCCCACTGCTGCAATCATGTAGACAGCCGCCTCGGGAATGCATCACGGAATCTTCAGCTTGCATATGATATTGAGCTCGACCCGAGCGTTTGCTTGATTGACAGCCTGATCCCGAGATGAAAGTGGGTTCGGCGCGCGCTTGGTGAGCTTCGGCCTCCACACTCAGAATCCACTCGACGGCTTCGGCTTTCGGGCAATTTTTCATCAACCCTTTTTTCCTCCTCACCCACTTCATTCTCACCCACACGACCCGTCCACACCTCCGTCCTCGGCATTCTTGGGATACAGGATGGGCAAGAAGGGCAAGCCATCTGCAGGAAAGGCGGCCGCCAAAGCCGCCAAGAAGGAAAAGGCCGAGAAGCAGGCCACGCGCAAACTCACCAAGCAAGCCGCCAAGCAAAAGACCAACACCTCCTCCTCCACCAAGCAGCAGCCTGGCAAGAAGGGCGCCGCAGTCGAAGACGACGAAGAGGACCTCGATGCGCTGCTCGCGCGCTACCGCGAGCAGTGGGAGCAAGAGCATGTTGTCTCCGAGGAAAAAGTCGGTGGGCCACCCTCCCGTCGGGCCAATGCGACCTTCACCCCATGCCCGCTAGGAAACGATCTGTACCTCTTCGGTGGCGAGTACTTCAACGGCGAGCGCGTCTCGTTCTACCAGGACATGTACCGCTACATCCCCGAAAAGAACGAGTGGCGAACCTATGCGTCCAAAACTCAGCCCGGCCCACGATCCGCGCACCAGGTCGCCGCCACCGCTGCCCAGGGCGGCATGCTCTGGCTCTTCGGCGGCGAGTTCTCAGGCGCACGCCAAAACGCCTTCCACCACTACCGCGACCTCTGGGCATTCAGCATCGAGACGAAAGCCTGGGAGCGCATCGACACCAAGCTTCGACCCTCGGCGCGCAGTGGCCACCGCATGACCTTCTGGAAACACTACCTCGTCCTCTTTGGCGGCTTCATCGACACGGGCGTAAAGACACAGTACCTCAACGACCTCTGGATCTTCGATACCCAGAATACCTTCAAGTGGACAGAGATCAAGCAGAACGATCTGCGCCGGCCCCCACCGCGATCCGGATTCAGCCTGCTCTCCTGCCCAGAAGGCATCGTTCTGCACGGCGGATACTGCAAAAAGTACGTCAAGGGTCAGCGCACCCAGGGCGTGGCGCTTGAGGATACCTGGTTCCTCAAGATGGACGAAGACCTCACAAAGCTCGACTGGGTCAAGCGCCGCAAGGTCGGGTATGCACCCAATCCGGTGCGCAGCGGATGCACCATGGCGCTCTGGCAGTCCAAGAGCATGGGCATCCTCTTTGGCGGTGTGACAGATACCGAGGCGGACGAAGAAACCATGGAGAGCACCTTCCACAAAGACCTCTACGGCTACCAACTGCCCGGTACCGGTCGTTGGATCAGTCTCAACCTTAAGCGCAAGAAGAAGGCCGGCGGAGGTAGACGAAAGAAGAAGCAACAGCAGCAGCAGCAGCAACAACGAAGAGATGAAGACTCTGACGATGACGGCGATTCGGATCGTGACGACGAGGAGCAGCTCGCCGAGTCGACCGAGAAACTGCAAATGCAGGAGAAAGCGTCGATCGCCAATGGCGCCGATGAGGACGACGATGACGACCCCGATGATCCGCTGAAGACGATCCCGCTGGAGCGGTACAACGTGATGCTGGCCGTGCAGCGCAACACGCTCTACGTCTACGGCGGCATCTTCGAGGCGGGCAACCGCGAATATACTCTCGACGACTTTTACACACTCGACCTGTCCAAGCTCGAGCGCTTCACCTGTCTCAAGGACTGCCCCATCGATGCGCTCGACTGGGCCGAATCCGAGTCCGACGACGACTCGGACTCTGGCTCCGACTCTGACTCGGAGTCTAGCGAGTCCGAATCCGAGGGTGAAGAGGGCGACGAGATTCCGGAGGGCTTTGAGTTCGACGAGGCTGACTCGGACGACGAGGCTGCGCGGCACGCACGACTTAGCGCGGCTGAGCGCGAAGCACTGCGCGCCAAAGCACAAGCGTTTATGGGTGTGGCAGCCGACTGTGCGCGTACGGAGCAGGAAGTCATGTCGACGCCGCAACCGGGCGAGAAGCTGCGTGCGTTCTACGAGCGCACCAAGCCGCACTGGGCGGCCGTCGCCATGGAAGCCGACCCGAAGCTGCGCGGCAAGGAGATGCGCAAGCGCGGCTTTGCGCTCGCCGATCAGCAGTACCAGGAGTACAAACCCATCCTCGACGAGATCGAGCGCATCAGGGCCGAAGCTGGCCTCGACGAGAACGAGGCGGCCGTCAACAAGGTCGGCGGCATCGGCGCTGGCAGCACTGGCGTAGACTCGCGCAATCGTCGCTGATCCCCCTCCCCCACCCTTTCCAATGCAATTGACACTCCGCAAACACACACTCGAGAGTGACCTTGCCCATTGTGAACTTTTCTGGATCAGAAGCGTCAACTGAGAAGAGGACTAGGGGGTTACAGCTTGTGCCTGGCACCGCCGGCGATGCGCTCAAAGCGCTTCTGGGGCGCACCGGAGGCAAACACGATCTCGGCACCTTTCTGAAAGCACGCCAAACCAAAGCAAACCATCGTCAGCATCGATTGCCAAATGAGGCGGTGCCAAGAAAGATTGCGGGAATTGGCGGGGCCGGGGAAACTTACAAGTTCGGCATTGTTGGCGGCGTCGACACCCTGGTAGTTGTACGCGGCATCGCTGAGGAGCTTTTTAGTGTAAAGGATGGAGAAGGGGCTTGCGTTGGGCGGCAGCATCTTCTCCCTCACGTTGGCCAGCACATCGTCCAAAATGGGCGGGGTGGCCAGCTTGTCCTTGCCGTCGAAGCCGGCGGGTTTGGTGTAGAGTCTGGTGATGAATCCGGCCTCTTTGAGTTCGGGTGCTAGCATCTTTCGTCCCTCGAGTAGCGCCTCTGTTGCCCTTCCGAGGCCCATCTTCTGCACGAAGGTCACCGAAGTCAGACCCTCGGCGACAAGCGAGAGCGACATGAAGGGCGTAAAGAAGAAAAAGTCGTCGTAGGCGTACACCAAATCGCAGTGTCCCAGGATCGCAGCGGACAGTCCGACGGCCGGTCCATTCATCGCACCGATCAGCACCTTTGGGTGCGACCTCAACGCCGACGCCAGCCTTCCCTGTCCTGCATTGGCTCTGTTCGCATAAAACTCGCCGATCACCGCCTTGCCCTCTTCGGTGTTGGGGTCGGCCTTCTCTACTTCGGGAGGGAGGGTGCGAGAGGGGTCCTTGACATCGGCGCCGGCGGAGAAGTAGCGGCCTTTGCCCGTGACGATGGTGACCACCAGCTCAGGCTGCTGCGCAATCCACTCGAGACAGCGCGTGATCATCTTGTACCCAGCCCAGCCGAGCGCGTTGAGCTTGTCGGGCGCATTGAGCGAGATCACCGCCACGCGACCATCGCAGTTGTCCGGGAACGACAGTGCCACCGGACTGGAATCCGCACTAACCGGAGGGGGAGACGTGAACTTGGAAGTCATGCTTGATGTCAATGTCGTAGAGGGACAAGATTGTAGGGGAGTGTGGGGTAAGGAGTGCGGGGGAATGCGCTTTTTTATGGTTGCGGTCCGAGCAACTGGATTGCCGGAAGAACGGCGAGTTTCAAGCCGGGCTTGGAATAGCCGATTTGGCGCTCGCCGAAAAAAAGGCGACACTTTGCGCGGCTCTAACAAAATCCGCTCTTCGCATCCGCTCGTATTTAAGCCTCGCTCTTGATGTGTCGCCACAGATCGTTGGCGCCCTTAGAAGCCTGGCGATCGAATCTTGCTGCGTGCTTTGGCGACTTGCTTGAGCTGAGGTCGGTGTCGGATGATTGGGGGCGAAGCGATGCTGGGTTTGGCTTTTCTCTGCCTGCGCGGCCGCGTGCAGCGACCTCTTCGTCCGTCCTTCTTGCCCTTGGCTGGTGCAGCGCGGGGGTGGACGCACTTGTCGGCAAGCAAGATGTACTCGACCTCCAGCTCATCCTCCTTGTCCTCTACGGGAGTCTCGGCGATGCGATTGTGGACAGTGACGGCGGGGTGATGCTCGTTGGATTCGTGCTTGACACGCGTGATGCGGCCGAAGAGCGCGCCGATCCTTGCCAGCATCCCACCTCCTCCCTGCCCGGCTGCGTCGAGCTGGTTGTCGAGCGTAGGCGAGAGCATGAGTTCGTCCGTCTCCATGGCGGGTTGCTTGCGGAATCGCCGGTGTTGACGCGAGGGTACCGATTGCAAAAGTAGACACAGCAGCTCGTCCGAGTCGGGGATGGTCACTGCCGCGGACGCCGTCATCGATGTCGTCGAGTGGCAGGATTCTCGACCACAGGGCTAGTCGTGTGCGGCCGTTGGCTCCCCGGGTTATCAAGCAGATTGGCTGTTCCGCATCGCTTTGTTCTGCTTCTTCCGCACGCCGCCGTTGGCAAGAGGAAGGAGCCATCCGCCAACAAAGCTTATTTTCGCCCACTCGTTCCGCACGCTTCCCGCACCCGCACATCGAGCTGTAAACCCTCTGCAACACTCTCCTGCCTTTGCCTTTACTCTCACCACATCTCTCCCGCTCTACGAAAGGATGACGTCTACCGAGCCCGCCTCGGCTGCTACGGTGCGCCTCGACTCGGACTCGGACAGCGATGACGATGTCGTCTTTGTCTCGAGCTCGAGCCGCTCGACCCCGCGCGTCAAGTCGCCTCCCTCTCCTACCCGCAGCAACGCTAGCGAGCGCGGCGTGAGCCAGGAGCTGCAGATCGCGCCCAAGCGCCACACCGAGTTCGGCGACACCAAGCTCGAGCGCCACACCCGGCGCGAGCGCGACACCAAGCTCGGCGATACGGCTGCCCCCGAGTCAAAGAAGGTAAGTTTCAAGGCCAAGATCCAGTGTCGTACGGCGATGTCTGATGCTGTTTGTGCCTTGCAGGCTGCCCGTCGACCTTGGACGGTTGAAGAAGACGCTGCGATTCTCAACTAGTAAGTCCGCCTCTTTGCCCTGCTCCACTGGCGCGGAGGATAGGAAAGCTAAGGCGTGTTGAGAATCTCAGTCTGGTCAAGAACGTGCAGGTGTCGGCGCTGCACCACGATGTGCTTCCTGACCGTCCCTACGTCTCGGTACACACGCGACGTAAGTAGTCCACCTCCCCAACGATGCGCCAAAATAGGTGACTGACAACGTCGGTGGTGATGAACAGTGCATCTGCTCATGCGCAACGTGTTGCGCGCCAGCCACCCAGACACCGAGATGCGCAAGTACGAAGCGCAGCTCTGAACTCCACGACCGGCGATGGTTTGGGTATCTGTTGACATTTGGGCATTCGATCAAAACGTCTGCACCACAACATCGCAACTCGATCAGCGATCCATCCAAGTTGCACTCGAGCTTGTTGAGGACCTACCTTTTTGTGAATGATATCTGGGTCTTCGTTGTACTCCTCTGCACTGACCCACATGCGTTTGAACGTGCTGAGGCCCGCCAAGATACTGCCACCGATCCACGTCGCGTACTTGCGCTCGGGCGGGGCAAAGATCTTGATCTTCATCTCGCGCACCGCCAACCTCTTGACCTCGGCCAGCATCCTATCGCCGAACCCTTTCGTCAGCGTCGTTCCACCCGATAGCACGATGTTGGCAAAGAGGTTCTTGCGCAGATCCAGGTCAGTCCTACCGATCGAGTCGACGACCACCTGGTGCACACCGGGGAACTCCTGTCCCACCAGCTCCGGGTTGAAGAGGATCTCGGGCGCACGGAACCGCTCCGCACCCAGGCGCAGCGTATTGCCATCCGGCAGCTTGAACTCTTCATGCTCCTTGATGTCCTTTTCCTCCTTGGACGGGTTGAGCGCGACGTAGCAGCACTTCTCCTTGATCACGCGCACCAGCTCCTTCTCCGCCGAGGTGTGCAGGTGGTATCCGGCCTTGCGCAGATGCGTCTGTAGGTTCTCGGTCACATCTCGCCCCGCCACATCCACGCGACGAATCGCATTGGGCATGGAGAATCCTTCGTACACGGGGACCGCATGTGTGACGCCATCGCCCGAGTCCAACACGATTCCCGTGGTGCGCCCTGACGAGTAGAGACTGAGCACCGCCTGGATGCTCGTAAAGAGCGCGGGCACGTTGAACGTCTCGAAGAAGATCTGCGCTGCCATGTCGCGGTTGCTGCGCGGATTGAGCGGCGCTTCTGTGAGCAGCACGGGATGCTCTTCCGACAGCGTCTCGAGTTCGTCGCTGTATACGTGGTTCCAGATGCGCTCCATGTCCTCCCAGTCGGTGACGATGCCGTGTTCCATGGGATACTTGATCTTGAGCAGACCGCGCAGCTCTTGGGCCTTGCGTCCGATGAAGAGGTCGCCTTCGATGGCGCCGGCCATGACGCGCGGATGCTTGGGCCGACCGACGAAGCTGGGGAAGAAGCATTTGGGCGCATCTTGGCCTGCAAAGCCCGCCTTGATGGAGCCCGAGCCGTTGTCGATCACCACGGGCTGGTTGGTGAGCACATCGTCGAATTCGTTGCCCGGCATTGTGGCCCGACGAACATCCAAAAAGCAGCCAGGTGCGTGTGTGAGGGAGAGGAGAAGATGGTGGTGACGAGCGAGGGTTTGGCGCGCTTTGAAAGTGTTGGTTTGCGCGGCGCTTTTTCGGTCCGTCGCCTCTCAGCGCCTGGCCTGAGCGGCGGCGGAGTGCGAGCAGCGGCAAACGCGTGTTTCGCCAGTGTTGGTTTCCGCTAACCGGCCGCCGCCCATTCGCGCTCTCACATTCAATACTTGAAGCTCAGGCTCTCGGATCTTGCGGAATGGTGACATGAACCGATTGCTTTGAACCCTCATACCAGACTTTCGATTGCGGCACACGGCTACTGAAGATTGACGAAGCATCCTCCGTCCACGAGCACCGACGATCCGGTCATGAACTTGGCCAGGTCCGACGCCAGAAACACCACGGGGCCGGCAATGTCGTCTGGCTGTCCGAGCCTCCTGAGCGGGTGTCTGTCGACCATGCGCTGGCGCTTGGCGTCGTCTTTGAGATCGTCCGCGTTGATGGCCGTCTCAATCGTGCCCGGAAGGACGCTGTTGCACCTGATTCCAAGAGGGCCTAGGCCGATGGCAGCCGACTCCATCATGCTCTTGAGGCCGGCCTTGGTTGGGGTGTAGTGGCTCTGGAACTCGCCGCCGACGAGTGCCGAGATGGATGCGATGGCGATGATGCTGCCTCCCCTGGGCGTCTGCCTGCTCATGAGCCGAGCGGCTGCCTGCGTGGCGAAGAAGGCGCCGTTGAGATTCACGTCCTGCACCTTGCGCCACGTCGACGCTTCCATCTCGAGGAAGCCCATAAAGGGACAGATGCCGGCGTTGGATACAAACACGTCGAGCCGCCCGAATTCGCGCTCGGCCGCATCGGCGACGGCCTGCCCAACGGCTGCGTCGGAGATGTCGCCAGCGACGAGCACCGCTTTGGCGCCGAGTTCCGCGAGTTCTTGCTGGAGCGACTCCGCTTCGGCGGTGGTCTGCGTGTCACCAAAGTAGTGCACCACGACGCCCGTGGCGCCGTGAGCCGCACATGCGAGCGCACACGCACGCCCGATGCCGCGCGACGCACCCGTGATGGCCACCACCTTGCCAGGCAGCAGGTTGGACCCTGCGATTCCCGGCGAAGCTGTCGTCGAGGTACTCATCTTGACTGCACTGCTTGTTCGAGCGCTTCGACTTCCGAGTGGTCTCGGGTATGTCGCATGCGATGCGCCCTGACCGGCTCGCCCTTTTCGCTGAAGACAAACTCGCCGCCGAGCTGTTTAAAGTCTCCGCCCTTGAGCGCCTGGGTTCCCGACTTGACAAGGTCGATGACGCTGCTGATGACGTTGTGCGTGAGGCCCACCTTGTGATGCGCGCCCACTTTCTCCTTTGCGTCTCCGAGCTCCAGATTCCTTCTGGTGACGCCAAGCGCGTGGTAGAGGTGCAGCTGTGGATCCGCGAAGAACTTGAACGGCGGGCTGCCTACCGACGCTTTGTACGTCTCTACGCCCGCTGCCTCGCCTGGACCGACGATGACCAGCTCGACACGCGTGAGGATCGAGGATTCGGCTAGCGCACGCACAAACTCCTTGCACATGCCACAGTGAAAGTGGCGCGTAAAGACGAGGACGAGCGGCAACTGCTGCGCCTGCGCGCCGTCGAAGAGCGAGGCCACCGAGATGCGCGTACCGTGGCTGTCGAGGACGTGCGTGGCTTTGGCGGCCGAGAGCTGTGCAGTGGTGGGGAGGGCGTCGTCCGAGTCGGCGTGTGTCGCAGTGGACATGGTGGAGTGTTCAGAAGATGCGATGCGCCAGATTTGTAGCTGGAGCGGGGCGGCCAACGTGGGGGAAAGGGGAGCAGAAGCGCGCCTGGTTATATGCGGATGCGAGCCGCGCAGAGCAGCCCCTTCAGCAGAGCGTGGGGGCAGCGAGATTGCCGTGCGTCGGACCGAAGAACAGGAAAGTGTTAGGTTTCGCATTCCCATGCTCGACCTCATCTCTCCCACGACTGCCACACTCTCAATGCTCGACCACCAAGCTTTCGGCAGTCGAGTGGTCTACGCGGGTATGTCTGCCATTCGCATCGGGACCGAATCCGAGGGTGGCGGCATATCTAATGAATCGGTGAGAACTCGAGTGGCTGCAACGCTCGTCGACAGTGTCAGCCAACCTTGTGTATGTGGATGCTTTGATGGGGTGGGGACTTACTGTTCGTGGCTGTCTCCAGGCCAACCAGTCGCTGGTCTCGGTAGGCAAGAGGCCCATGCTCCAGCACTTGTATAGTCCCAACGCAATGCCTGCCAGCTGGCACACCACAAACAGCACCTTGGGCAGCAACAGACTCTGTCCAGGCGATGCGAACCTCGAGAATGCTGTTTCCACCACCAGGTCAGCCACGGTGGTCCCGAAATCCCAACGTCGTCTCGTGAAACCTTACCTGTGTTCATTCCAGAGATGCCTTTGAGCGGCGACGTGATGAGCATGCCGACGGCCATCATGCTGAAGATCTGCACGCCCGAGCCGCTCATGTAGAGCATGATCGCATTCATCGGCAACGACTTTGCCGGCGAGTACGCTAGCTCCCACGCCTTGGCCATCTTGAGCGCCGACGGATCCGCCCGCTGGACAGGCGCTTTCGACTTCGACTGCTTCTAATAACCCCCGAAAGCCAAAGTAAAAGGTCAGCTGATGTCGGTAAAGCCGCAGAGCAGCGGAGGTGGGGCTTACCTTGGTCACCGCCTCCTCGACGTATCCGATGGGGTCGGGGATGTCGTTCGCTTTGCTCTTGGAGCTGCTCGCATAGTTGAGCCGGAACGCCGACAGTGGTTGTGCCCTCGACATGGTGAGATGGCTGCCGGTATGATGGAGGTGAGGCGTGGAGAAGGGTTCGCAGCAATTCCAACCCGGACGCGGTCCATGCGCGGCTCAGCTCCAGCTGCCAATCGCACTTTCTCGCGCGATTGAAACGTCGCCGCCCATTTTGACAGCTTCGCCACCTCCTCCAACGCCACTCCTCCTCACTTCACTCCCGCCACGCCTCACAAGATATGGACGATGCGCACATCATACTTCGCACTTGTGGTTATCAGGAAACAATTTGCTTTCGATTGGATTTTGCTATAATTGTTCGAACGTGCACATACGAAATATCATACCCGGCCAATTGGGCAGCCACTTAGGCAGCCACAGCGGCGGTGGCAGCGGCGGGCGCAGCCTTGGTGGCGATCGCCTCGGACTTGTGGGCGCCGTTGAGGCGCGCTGCCTCGGCCTTGCGCTCCTTGAGCAGCGCCTCGGGGTCGGCACCCAGGTCACCGGCGTCCGCGTAGGCGTCCAGACCCACACCGTCGCCGCGGCCGATCTTCTTGACGTACGCCTTGTGGACGGCGAGCGACTTGACAAACTCGTCCTCGGTGATGTCGTTGGCGAAGACGCACGTGCCGAGCGGCTTGGCGAGCACAAAGCGCTGCAGGCCGTCGCGCGTCTTCTTGATCGCCTCGTTGGCCTCGCGCATCAGCTCGTCCGTCAGCAAGGGATGGTCCACCGACAGACCCACCTGGCCCGCCAGGCGGAACCACTGGTCGCGGTCCTCGTCGCCAATGTAGCCGCGCATGTGCGCGAGCGTCACCGACCACGCCATGTCGATGCAGACAGCGTGGCCGTGGCGCAGAGGAGGGAAGGGCGCAAGCTCGAGCGTAGGCGAAATCGAGTGACCGTTGGCGATCACACGGTCCAGGCCAATCTCGTGCAGGTTGGGCGACTCGAGGTCGAGCATGCCCTTGATGGCGTTGCGGCAGATCTCGTCGGCGGCTGCCTTGAGCTCCTTGGCACCCGGTCCCGTGGCGTTGCGGCCGTAGGCGGTGTTGACGAGGTCCTCGCCGTACTTGGCGAGCAGGTTCCACGTGTACTTGTCCGTGCAGTGGAGGATCTTGATGAGCTCGGCCGTGCCGTTGCGCGTCTGGCCGATGGGCAGCGTCTTGAGGAAGTCAAAGTCGAGGAAGGTGTGCATGGGTGCGTGGTAGGCGCCCAGGCGGTTCTTGAGCTTCTTGTGGTTGATGCCCACCTTGATCGAGATGGCGGCGTCGATGAGCGCGATGAGCGTCGTGCCCACACGGATGTAGTTGGTGCTGCGACGGTACGAGGCACACGCGTAGCCGAGCACGTCCGAAGCCAGACCACCGCCGACCACCAGCACGGGCTCCTTGCGGATCAGACCAAAAGAGTCCATAGCGTCCACAAAGCCGAGCATGGTGTCCATGGTCTTGTGCAGCTCACCGCCCTTGAAGACGTGGAGCGTAGGCTTGATGTTGTGGGCGCTGAAGTCTGTTGCACGGAGCGCAAAAAGAATGCGAAACCTGTCAGCAATCGTACTCTTCTCACTCTGTCTCCATGTGGTCGCAGGCTGGGTACTCACAGGCCTTGATGGAAGGGCCGTACAGCTCGTTGAGGTTCTCGTCGAGGACGCAGAGGACGCGGCCCCACTTCTGGTAGTAGGAGGCGAGGTCGTCCTTCTTCTGGTCAAAGACGTTGTCGACAAACGAGTAGGTGTACTTGAGGTCCTCGTAGCCCTGGATGTTGTAGCCGGGGCCAGTGGCGTTGGCCGAGGCGGGGACCTCGGTCACGGTCGCCCGCATGTCGGAAGAGATGGCACCACCGCAGCAAGCCATTGTGGTCGAGTGTGATGGGGTTGAGAAGGAGAGAGAGGATGGGATGCGGTTGAGCGAATGTACGGTGGTACAAAAGGGTCAAGTGGTTGGCACAAGAGAGAGTTGAAGCTCTGTGAAGGGGGATGACTGGTTGGTGGGGTCAGGAGGGATGGGGTTGCGGGCCAGCCTGTGTTGGCCTTTATAGCAAGGGTCGGGGAGGCGAGAGCAGGCGGTCTGGGTTGCGCCGCCTTCCAGCGGCTGGGGACGGAGGAGGTGGAGGAGGTCGCTGCGGCGGCGAGCCCTCTGCACTCAGTCGGGGCACCTGATCAGTCTTGCTCACTTGGGCGGCACCGATGTGTAAGCTGGCATCGGGTCAGGCTCAGACTGGCGGTGCAGTCGAGCGGAGGACGAGCACGTTGTGCACTAGTTGTTCAGCACACCAGCCCACACATGAATCAGGAGGCGAAAGGGCAGCGGCGAGAAGGCACAGGGGCACGGGGTGAGGATGAGAGCCGGGCACACTGCGGTAGAGGCCGTAAGAGGAGCAGAACTGAAAGCAAGGTCGGGTAGAAGTACGAGAGACACAGACGCTCAAGACGAGGCAACGGACGAATGAGAGCCCCCGAACTGAGGACCAAGAGTGTGAGACGGCAGTGGCGAGGGCGTGATGGCGAATACGAGCCTCTCAAGCGGGCGAGGGTGTAGAAGGCGGGGGCCGTGCGCAGCGTTAGACCCTGAGCCGGATCTTCCTGGCTCCAAGCCACGAACGACACGACGGCACAACAGCAGCAGCAGTAGCTGGCAGATTCACGCGGACCGGGGCGGGGCGGGGGCGGAGTAAGGAGCGAGGCGCCAGACGAGAGGAGGCTGGTTACGAGCGCAAGATGTGTATGCTTACCCCAAGCCGCGATCTGATGCACCGGGTGGAGCTGTCAACGTGATGGCGCTGCACATGTCCGGCTACCGCCTTCGCTGCATGGCTGCTGCAAGGTCCGTCAGATGGACCGGTGCAGCGTCCGATCGTGCTCTGCCGCTCCGCCGTCGCCATCTCTGCCATCTCTGCCTGTTGTGCCCACTGTGCCTTCCCTCTGCTTGGCGCCATGTCCGTTCTGCAAATAGCCGTCCGTTCTCGTCACAGGCGGATCGGGGCTTACCACAAGCAAGCACACGCAGTACCGCGCCGACGCAGCTCGTGATCTCCGAGCTGAGTCTCGGTAAGCTGAGCGGGCAGTGTCCCCATCACGCAAAGATTACCGCGCTGGCCGATCCAGGGTCCTTTGCATCATCACAAGAGCCCGTGGCTAAAAGACGGGGGGGCAGGGTTCGACGGTGCAAACAGTCGCTTTTGGCCGACGGCTGCCGAACAGGAGGCAACCGGGGCATCTCTGTAGATCTTGGCTTGGCTTCGCGCACTGACAGCGCCGCACGGAAGGGGAGGATGGCCGGCTGTCGATCTGCAGTTGCATCTGGCTCACGCAAGCAGACTCGCCCGGCGTGGCGGCGATGTCAGCTGCTGGGCTCGCTTCGCCCATTTCAAATTTGCACTCTGGCCAACTCCACAAACGCGGCCGTGCAATGCTGGACAGCCGCGGAGCTTGCAGACTGCTCCCCTCCGCCCTCCGCCCTCTGCCTGTGTGATCTTTGTGATCTTCGAAGGAACGAGCCTGGAGCCCACTTGACAGTGCAGCATCCAAGCTCAACTCGACTACGAGCAGGCGGTCAGAGGGAGAATCAGCGTCAAGGTCGATTCGGATGCGTTCCGAATGGGAGGCTTTGTTGCGCTCGGGCCAGCTTGCTGGAGGGATCTGCTGCTGGCGGATCGGCCGAGGGGCCATACTTGCAGTGTCGGACGTGGCTCTTGGAGCCCACGGCCAGCGCGGAGAGCCTTTGCGTGCTCAGCTAAGTCAACATGCTCGTGACGAACGGCATAGGATTGGTTGCATTTGATGTGCCAAGACGGCTGCCACCTCGAGGTGCGCGTCTCGATCGAGCCAAACCCTATTTCGGGGAGCTACTCACTGCGACGAGGGGGCGGAGGCACAACCGCAGCCAAGTCGACTCGAGCCATCGCACCGCCCGTGCCCGGAGCACCCGAAGGCGATTCCATACTGAAGCCGTCTTGTCTAGACCAGAAGCAGCGGCGGAGGACTGTTTGTGCAGAGGGAGCGAGCGCAAAGTCAGGGTCCAGTTGGGAGATGCATGCAATGCAGCCTGCAGCTTGGGTCCATCGGCGCATCATCGAACAGCGCCTCCTTCTCCGGTCCCGACCCCGCCGTCCGAATTTTGTAACGCATGCAGCTGTTCCGCCTCTCGCTCATTCGCCCCCCTCGCCCACCAAGTCTTTTGCCAATTCATCGTCTTTCCACCACGCAACAGGACATGATCAGCTTCGTCTGACCATGTGTCCAGAAGGCGCGGTGGCTCGACGAAACGGTGCGTCGTTTATGGATCCGGTGTGCACGGACGCATACTTGGCCAAACATGCCGTAACCCTCGGCACCCCACCGCACGATCGAGCGAAGCCGGTCCCTGCATCTCTCGCAACTGCGCTCTTCGCCCCAGACCTACTCGAAGCTTGCCAAAGTGGAACAAGCGCCAGACGAGGCTTGCACGACGCGCGCAGCCGGCACTGTATGTCGTGATTCATCGTGCAGAGCGAGCAGGCGACCCTCAGTCGCCAGCCAGAAGCGAGGGCAAAGCACGGCCGAATTCAGTGCTGTTTGCAGACGACATCCTGCAGTGCGGCAGCCGACAAGGGGGACCCTGGATCGAGCGGTGGGCGCATCCGAGCTGTCGAGCCGCTCCTGCATTTCGCCTCCGATCTGGCTTAGGAAAGCGTGCAGAAATTGACAGCCGTGCCCGCTCCCCACGTTTTCCGGCCAGTCACTTCCTCCACACTAGGCAGAGCCGCTGCCCCCAACATCTGCAACCCACGAGCCATGTCGACAGCATCCAACGTGGACCCGATCCTCACCGTTTCAAAAGCGCAAGCACACGAGGCAGACATCTGCGCGAGCAGCAGATCCCTGGGCGCTCCAGTTGGCGATCGGGGCGCGAGAGGCTGGTGAGACTCGCGTGCGGCTTCGCGGGGGCTTGATGGCGCAAAAGCCGGATCGACACGATTCCCCGACGGATTCGAGGGGCAACCACAGCATCTGCAGCAGACGAAGGCTGCCACAACATGGAAAACCGCTGCGG